AAAAAAAAAAAAGGGGTCTCACACGGCTCAATAAGACCTTCTGTAACGAATCGATGCGTTTTTGTAAGAAAAATGTCCATATTCAAAACGTGATAATCACTTTAATCTAGCTTGCGCTCACTGTTGTACACGGAAGCAGTTCCGGGAGGATGACGTATGAGGTCAGCGCTGCGCCAGTGAGTCTCGTGAAAACCAATGTTTGTTAACAGGAGCAAAGGAAGCAAAGTTTCCTTACTTTAGCAAAGGAAAACCCTCCTCTTGGCTTATATCGAAATCCTCCGACATTCTTCTTTACAAATCCTCGTTTTGTACTTCTAATTCTTGACCGTTGTTTTGTTTTGATCTCTCCGAAGCATTTCCGATTGCGTCACTTCTGAGCGGCGCATGCGCAAAGCCGACCTCCATACGTCATTCCCCCGGAACTGCTTCTGTTTACAACAGTGAGCGCAAGCTAGATTAAAGTGATTATTACGTTTTGAATATGGATATTTTTCTTACAAAAATGCATCGATTCGCTACAGAAGGCCTTATTGAGCCGTGTGAGATGAGAAGTTCTTTTGGACTGAAGCAATGCAACACCCGCTGAGTGGCATTAAACCGCTTGAAAGATCAAAGACAATTATTAATATAACTCTGACTGGATTCGTCTGAAAGAACAAAGTCATATACACCCAAGATGCCTCGGGGGTGAGTAAATCACAGCCTAATTTTCATTTTTGGGTGAACTAACCCTTTAACCCTTGATTTCCTGTCTTTCTTTCCTACTAAATCAATCAAAATTAAATAGACCAGCAAAAATACTATTGTACAGAATCAGACCCATTCATTTATGAGTGTTGTACTGTTGGGCCCTGCGGTGTCTCATGTATCACTGGCAAATGCCATCTCAAATAAATTAAACGATAGAAAAGAACGGTTTCTTAAATTTAACATTTTAAAAATACCTTTTACACTAGAGAACCTCATGGCTCATCCTTTGTAGTTACCTATATCTCAATATTTTACTGAAATCCAAGAATATTTATTCAGAAATGTTACATTTATATAAAAAAAAAATAATAATTACTGAAACACAATTTAAAGGAATAAATCAAAAGCACATTTGAGGTGCAGTAGAGATAGACTTACAATAATTTAGGCCACATTCCCCTGGGTCATCCACAGTCACATTAGCCACTATCCTAAGGCCATTCTCCAATGGCAAGGGTGCACATGGAAGCACAAGGAGCCCCAGAATGGGCAGCAGGACCAGAACGGGATGGACAGTCATGATCACATGAGTGGCTGAGACCATAATGTGAGAGAGGGTCACATCCCCAACACCTGTGAGATATACAAAAACAACAAAACTGTTCCTCGACTCAAATATATTTACTTTTTAAATACATTAGATGATAGAAAGATAGATGGATGTGAATTGTATCAGAGAAGGAAGTGAGAATGAACATAAATGTGATTCAATTGCGCCATCTAGTACAAATTCCAAAACACTACAAGGAAAAGTTTCGAAATTTCATCTGCTCTACCTGCAAAACAGCCGTTTCAATCCTGTTCGACTAAGACTAGACCACAAGTGCTATAAAACACGTAGGCATAATATAAAGTTACCATTTATGTTCTTTTTTCACATTAGAAGCTCCCATTTTAAAGTAACATAAGCCCTAACCTCTTCTAAGTGCTTGGAACTGGAGTTGAACCTGCGTTCAATAAAGGCTTTGTTGGTTATAAGGAAGTTTCAAAAGTGAATAAATAGGTCTTGGGTGAAGCACATAAATGTCTGCCACACCCCTCCAAACGCCCGGTTCCAGCGGTCACTGCAAACAGCACCGAAGGGCTCACTAAACCCGTTCCAGGATGTACAGATCATATGACTCCCATCGAGGCTTGAACAAAGCAATGAAACTCACTAAGAGATGAAGCAGATTATTCACGGATGGTCCGGCTGAGCTGGAATTAAAAACAGAAAAGAAATAAAGCAGTTTGTAGCTATAGAGGAAAAAGAAAAAGAGGATTAAATCACTTCCATAGATCTATCAGCAAAGTATGCCAATGCATTATTGCATCTATTTTTCTTAACCCATAACACTGACTTACAGCACAATAGAAGTAATTATGCAAACAGATGCAGTTACAATTCACAAATACAACCCATAATACTTATCTGAGAGTATTATTGTGGTTACTAACTTCTTTAGTCATAACTATAGGAATGTAGGTCAGTTAAGAGGAGTGTGATTACAAACACCACTGTAGTTTGCGGTTTACAATGGAACATGTTTTCTAACTCACTTACATTAGGATCTATTTTTCTTAAGAGACACACCCTACAGTATAAATAACAAAATATACATATTAAATACAAGTTGATGGAATTAAACAAGCAATTGAATGGCTACAATAAAATGATGACACAAAAACGGTGTTAAATATAAAGCATTGATAAAAAAAAACAAAAAAAAGCTCACGAGGATGCACTTACCAACAAACACAATGCGTCCTTTCACAATACAAATGTCAGTTTGTATGCATGTACACAGCAGCGTTTCCGAAACCCTTTCTTTACTGCAGTTTACAAGCGTAAGCCAAACGAATACCGTCTCATTCCTCATGCAGTGCGTGGTTATTGTCACGCTCCTGTCAAGTGTTTCATATTTTAATTCGGGTTGTTTATATAAGTAGCAGCTAGCCGACAGACACGACACGCGAGTGTTGCGACAAGAGGAAATGCAGGACTTCCGGGGCACGCAGCGGGCCGTGAACGCGTCAAAATAAAAGTCCCCAGCTCATCAATTCGTCATTGAGCGCAGGTGAAAATTGATTAGAAAAATCACGACTCGTTACAAAAATCACCACGGTAGGCATAGTTTGTGAAGTATAATGGGATTATCTGTAAAATGGGCTTTTATATGAATACTAACAAATACCGCCAAATATTGCAACGTACAACGGACTTTTATAATGCAAACGTCACGTGACACTAGAGTCGTTTTTTTATTGACAAGCTGAAGCTTAGCTAAAAAAAAAAAAGAGTAGCCTCATAAAAATAACCAAGCGGCAAGGATGATCAAGGCTATTCTCATTTTTAACAACCATGGGAAACCCAGACTCATCAGATTCTACCAATATTTTGTAAGATAAGCGCATAGAAGACACTCAACCTGCATTTGCCAGCTATTGCCATTCTTGCTATTGAGACTACCAGCAGATTAATTGAATTAGTGTCTTTTATTCAATATATCATAGTTGAACATGCAGCTTGTATTTGTGTACAAATACAAAGTTTTGCGATATGGAATGTTTATTTTTGTCTGATTGTTTTCTTAGCTTCAGCTCATTTTGTTGTTGCTTATTTATTATATATGTATGTGCTCATCTATATAAATGTAATCATTTATATTACATGTTCATAGTAGTCATTTTTATATAATGTTAAACCACTAATGTTTCATTCGCTCCTCTGTATATATTAATGTGTAATTTTAAAGTTTATGTGGAAAATCCAAGGTCAAATTAATGTATCACGTTTCTTTTCACAGGCAGAAGACATGCAACAACAGATCATTAGGGAGACCTTTCATCTGGTGTCCAAAAGAGATGACAATGTCTGCAATTTTCTGGAGGGCGGAAGGTGACATAATCTGCATAATAATGTTACACATAAGGGCTTACTGTTATTATTGTCAACCATATCTCTACATCTAGTACTGTATGATGATGGAAAAGTTATTTTGAGGTGCTCAATAAAACTGAAAAGGTATTTACTGTAGTTTTGCTCTTCACTTTTAGTTTGATCGGAGGCTCTGACTACAAGCTGATCTACAGACACTATGCCACCCTGTACTTTGTGTTTTGTGTGGATTCATCAGAGAGCGAGCTGGGGATTCTAGATCTCATTCAGGTGAACATACTGCATTTTACATGCTGTAGTTCTGGCTTACAGGTATCAGGTATATCAAGCGTGACATGAAGTGGCGTGACGTGACATGTGGCCAAGTATGGTGACCCATACTTGGAATTAGTGCTCTGGATTTACCCATCCAAAGTGCACACACACAGCGGTGAACACACACCCGGAGCAGTGGGCAGCCATTTATGCTGCTGCGCCCGGGGAGCAGTTGGGGCTTTGGGAGAGAGCGCTGTACATTCACTCCCCCACCCACCTACAATCCCTGCCGGTACGAGACTCGAACCCACAACCTTTGGGTTATGAGGCCGACTCTCTAACCATTAGGCCACGACTTCCACTATTGCATTCAGGTATCAACTTTTTATTGAAGATATACATAAAGAAAAGGCAGAGTTTAAAACACTTGTTTTAGTGCAATGGTCATTTAACATATCAGGATGCATTAGTTCTCAGTGGACCATACTAATTCCATATTACCTGTAAGTATTATGTAAATACCATTCATTTAGTATGGTATATATCAGAATACCATCTGAATGGTAATGCCATAGGAACCTTTTTGTGCACGAGTAGTTAATTTGCTTCTTTTTTGGTGTGTGTAACCTGAAACGTTACCTTTTGAAAATCTCACTGAAAGAACATGTTGTTATTCACAATTGTGTATAATTTTGCCATGCAGGTCTTTGTGGAAACCCTGGACAAATGCTTTGAGAACGTGTGTGAACTGGACTTAATCTTTCACATGGATAAGGTCAGATTTCAAAGTTATTATCATTAACGAAAACTAAAATGAAACTAAAACCATAAAAAAATCAAATCAAATCATTTTTGTTACTTGAAATAAAATAAATGTTAACTGAAATAAAAGAAAATATTGAAAAAAGTAAACATATTTCAGCAAGGCTTCATTTCTACATTTTTAATTTAGAAAAATGTAATTTATCTTTAAGTAGTAAAATGACAAAAAATGAGTAAGAACTATATAGATTTAACAAAAAAACTCTAATAAAAACCATAATAGTATATCATCATACAAAAATAACCCTGGTTCCTTTCATAATGACTCGTATAACTTCTTACCTCTTTAGTTACCAAAAAGTGCTCTTTGGTGCTGTTAAATGTTCATCAGGGCATGATTAATTGCCAGTGATCATAATTCGATCCAGTATATAAGGGAAAGATTATATGTAGGCCACTATACTCTTTCTGATAATTGCCTGTTGGATTATGGCACCACTGTAAAACCTGTTCATGATAGAAGTGTACACTACATTGCTTTTGTTAGTTATCTAATCAGTAAAAATGTTTTATGAGTGGAGGGAATTACTTGGAAATGGCAATGTATGGCTTTATGGTAACTCGTCTGAGTACGCCATATGTAACATATTTGATAGTACGCATCACTAGTCCTGTGCATGTGTGTATTTTTAAGGTTATGGTCCAGTCTCAGTTTAATGCTCTGATTCGGTCAGCTGAGCTGTTTGTGTTAAAGTATTGATTTTATGAATCGCATTTTGCATCCGATTCACAAACAAATGGTTCCTATGAAGCAGTTCTTTTAGTACATTAAAACATACAGGTAAATAAGTATAACTGGATTCCTGAACAAGTGACTCCTACGGACTGGTTCGCTTTAATAAATATATTTTAAATATTTACTATAATATACTCCAATAAAACAATCAAATTGTGAAATGTGTTTTGTTACTCAGGCCTAGCTGTTTATTCACAAGTCATTATTTTTTTGAAGTTACTAATTTCAAAACAAAGGTTTGAAAGTTGACGTTTTTGTTGTTTATTCCAGGTTCATTACATTCTCCAGGAAGTTGTCATGGGTGGGATGGTTCTGGAAACTAACATGAATGAAATAGTCGCCCAAGTGGAGCTGCAGAACAGAATGGAGAAATCGGAGGTGAGTTCACATTGACAGAGTAACCGGTAGTCGCTCCAGTTTATTCAGACATCTTTTACATGCATTGCTGTGCCTCAACCCAAACAGGAAGGGACATTTTTAAATGGGTTTCTCTGAATGATACATGCTAATTTTTTAACACTTTAAAAAAAAAAATCTGGTTAAATAATATTGTACACATTAACTTGATTTTTAGCTGCATGGTTGACACAGAGCCTCGGAAATGTTTGTGAAAAACATGAATGATATCTCAAAAGACTTTTTCATTAATCTTGTTTAGCATCACTTTCTTTTTCCTGCAAATCTTTTGGCTGTATCAAAGATGAAAGGCCTAAAATAGTGAAAGGTATCTGGGCTGATATCATTGGTTCACACAGTCACTGTGTTCCTGATATGCTATCTGGAGTCGAGGCAATAATGATTGATAATGTTTGACAACACTAGACGTACTCTTGTGTATACATGGAAGGGGTTAAAATTAGGAAATGTTTGTGGTATGTTTTTTTTATTTTATCTGCTAAAGTACTGGGAGCCTTTAGATTTAGTGAGGTAAATACTGCACAAAATAAGTGAAATAGTTATTGTTTTAAAGGTGAGTTTTATGGAGTCTGGTGATTTTGTTGAACACCTCATTTATAGCTGATATGGGTTAATATGATGAGGGTGGGATACTGTAAAGTCTGATAATCATTACATGCATTTTCAAATGTCTTGTGTTATTGGCTATATTTTCTGAGATACTTATCTAAATAATAAACGTCATGCCTGATACAATGTTCCTCCATAAAATAAACATATTCCAAAGGCCAAATCTTCGTATTACTTTCATCTTTTATTTGACATTTTTGGACATACTTAATCCTGTCCTTTGCTCCTGGTAAACATGAGGTAATTTAGCTAAACTGTTTAGGTAAACTGTTGTATAGTACATGTCTGCAAATTAAATTCAGGTTGAATGGATTCACAACAGTGCATGTTTTTTAAATATGCAAAATGGCTATTTATCAAGAAAATATTTATAGAAATGTATTATGTATATGCACTGATTAGCCACAACATAGGTATCAATGACCCTCTGATGCCCTCGTGTACACTGGAGCTTTGCTGTATTAATTGATGAACCATTAATTCATGTGGGAGGAGAAACTTCCCAAGCCTTAAATAAAACATCGTGCAGATGTCAGTTTCACTCATATCATCCTGTCAGTGCTGAAGCATGGGGAAGGGTTTCTACATCAGTAAAACTGTTGGGATAGTCGGGATTGTGTTAGCCGCTGGAGTGCTAGCCACAATCACAGCTCTCCCGGTGGTCTACTCCCAAGAGAAGTCCAAGAACAATGAGGTTAAATCCACAGATCCAACAATGGCACCATCCAATGAACCATGGGACCAGTGGCGCCTTCCACAGACTCTTAGTCCAAAAATGTACAATATCACTCTGGCCACGGCTCCAGCCGGATCCAACAGGACTCTACATCTTCACAGGGCTGTCCAGCGTGGTCTTCAGATGTGTGGAAAAGACAAACCTCATCCTCATTCACTCCAACAAGCTGAACATGACAAAGCATCCCACCTTGATTGGACTTGGAGGCAAACCAGCTCCTACCATTGAATCAATTGTGATGCACACAAAAACACAGTATATGGCAATTCATCTGAAAGAAGAATTAACTGCTGGGGAAAGCTATGAGCTCTACACAGAATTTTTAGGAGAGCTTTCGGATGACCTGGGAGGCTTCTACCGAAGTGAATACTATGAGAATGGAATAAAGAAGTAAGACGTTTCTTTGACTTGTCAGTTCCTCCTATTCTACAAAAGGCCTTTCATGTATAGTTAAATCTCCTTGTTCTTTTTTTTTAGAGTGGTTGCCACAACCCAGATGCAGGCAACAGATGCAAGGAAGGCATTCCCTTGCTTTGATGAACCTGCAATGAAAGCAGTATTCCACATTACTCTTAACCATGATCCAGCAACCGTAGCCCTCTCCAATGGTGTTGTGATAGGTAAATTAACACTTTATTCTGTACAGGAGCAGTGTTGGGTAACTGCTTTGAAAGTGTAGCTTACCAAGCATCAAGTTAATCATAATTTGAAAAGGTTAAACTTGTTTCATCAGTCAGTGTCTCTTTTAGACTCTCAGATGAGGTTAACATCACTGTGGATGACACTCTTGTAACCAGAACAACATTTGCACCAACAGAAGTAATGTCGACATATTTGTTGGCATTTATTGTCAGCGATTTCATCTTCATTGAACAAAACATTGAAAATCGGCAGGTAACTATCTTTTGAAAGATCTTCAGACAAAATTCCACCAATTTAATAATGAAACATACTGCTCTATGCCCTAATCTAATTTAGTGAAGGTTAGAAAACAGCATGTGTTCATCTACTAAAACACTTAATTCTATAATTTATATAGATTAGAATTTTTGCCCGTCAAGAAGCCATAAATGCAGGACAAGGCGAGTATGCGCTCAGTGTGACTGGACCAATTCTCAAATTCTTCGAGAAGTATTACAATGTCCCCTATCCGCTGCCAAAATCATGTAAGAACCTAAGATATGACCTATATTTTATGAGGCATTCACTTTTTGTATTATCAAAATGACAATTTAAGTAATATTTGGGTTAAAACGTAAAATTTGTAGGCCATTTTAGAAGTTTTACTCATATCTCAAAATATTGCACAGATCAAATCGCTCTGCCAGACTTCAACACTGGAGCAATGGAAAACTGGGGCTTAATCACATACAGAGAGACGGCCCTGCTGTACGATGAAGAAATATCGTCAAATGAAAACAAAGAGAGAATCGTTACTGTTATCTCCCATGAACTTGCCCATCAGGTATAATCAGGAGTAATTTTTTATAATTTGAACCTTTATTTTTATCAACCTCACAACAGTACAGTTTACAACCCCTGTAATTCACCTATTCACTACCTTTTTCAGTGGTTTGGAAACCTTGTGACTGTCAGGTGGTGGAATGATCTGTGGCTCAAATGAAGGTTTTGCAACTTACGTAGAATATCTTGGTGCAGATGAAGCTGAGCCGGATTGGAACATTGTGAGTGTTTGAAGCAAAAGCCAGAGCAATAAATGGTAAATGCAAAAAGATATCACTAAGAGCATATGAAATCATAGCTGACTCTATTTCTATCCCACAGAAAGATTTGATCGTTCTTAATGATGTGCACAAAGTTTTCGCCATAGATGCACTGGCCTCGTCTCACCCCTTGTCGTCTAAAGAAGAGGAGATCGAAAGACCAGAGCAAATTACTGAAATGTTTGATACAATTTCCTACAGTAAGGTATAATGGGAATTGTTTTCTACGTTGACTATAACGTCTAATAATGAAGAACATACAGAATACATGTTGTTTGTCTGGTAATGCAGAGTCTCTTCCTCTAGGGGGCATCTGTACTTAGGATGTTATCTACTTTCCTGACTGAGAAAGTGTTTACTCAAGGCCTCCAGGTAAAACCCCTTTGTACACTGTTCCTTGTTGTGCTGTACAGTAAAAATGTAATATGCTTTTGCAATGGAGAATGTTTTTGTACATTCACAACAATTTGTTTCAAGACTTATCTGGATCATTTCAAATTCAACAACACAGTATACACAGACCTTTGGGAGCATCTTCAAAAGGTATGTTGCAATTAAACAAGGCTGTTCAACCATGCCATTACCTGTTCCCTATCGATACTTCACTCGTACTGCGTCTGCTTAAGACGCTATGGGAAAAACTCAATTTTCTCAGATGACGGAAGCCTTTTCAATGACGCAGTGTAGTGAATTAAAAACAAACCAATGACTTGGCAGTGGAGCTGCACGAGCCTATGGTGACGAAGCCCACCAGAATGGGTGGGGCCATCTGGCTATATAAGCAGGCATTTCGCCATAGGATACTCAGATTTATTTTCCTTCAGCGCTGTGCGACGGCAAACCGGTTTTCGGACACTGGTCGAAAGAGGAGAGTCGGCTTCACATCAACTGCCTGGAAATGCTGGCAGTATGCCTGGGCTTTCACACCTTTCTGCCGGACCTAAGGGGACACCATGTTTCAGTCCGCTTGGACAGCATGACGGTGGTGTTCGCCAGGGCGGTCTCTCCTTGAAGCGCCTCTTCATAAAGCACCTCTTGAAATGGGCTCAGCTCAACTTGCGTTTGCTGAGAGCAGCGCATGTGCCGGGCAGGTTGAACCAAGGAGCAGACATGCTATCTCAGAGCAATGTCCCCTCAGAAGAGTGGATGCTCCACCCACAATCGGTTCAAAGAATCTGGGTGATCTTCGGCAGGGCAGAAGTTGACCTCTTCTCCTCTCATTGTCCAACTTATTTTTTGAAGCACACGACTGGCCCAACCTCCTCCTTTATGCTTTTCTCCCAATCGCCCTGATCCTGCAGGTAATCAGGCGAATCAGGGAACAGAAACACAAGGTTCTGTTAGTGGCCATGCTCTGGAGGAACCAAAACTGGTTCGCAGAGCTGTCTCGGCCCATTCCCCTAAGAGAGGACCTCCTCTCTCAGACGAACAGAACGATATGGCTCCCCCAGCCCGAGCTGTGGGCTCTGTCTCGATTGGAGCCGTCGGACTAGTGTTAATTTCGTTAACGAAGACTATGAGGAAAAATGTTCGTTGACAAGCTTTTTTCCCATGACTAAGACAAGACAAAGACGAGACGATAATAAGTTCAATAAACGATAACTAAGACTATATCAACATGCAATTAAAATAAAAAACTTTGCCAAAAACCTATTTTTATTTTTGTCAAAAAAAGGAGACAAAATGTTATTGCGGACTGCTCTACATGCCTCTACTACGAGAGCTTTCATTTATTCTGATGATCTGAAAACACCGACAAACAAGCTGGAGTTCAGCGATCTAAATGAAAGCGTCATTCATCCGGTCTGTGTTCTGTCATGAGATCTTGACTGTATTGTTTGCGATTGTGATCGCTGAATAAATGCACTTACTCAACCGCTGTTGTTTTAATAGAGAAATAGGCTATT